CATCCCTCACACACTCACCATCCTCACACACTCAGCATCCCCACACAATCACCATCCCTCACACACACCATCCTCACACACTCACCATCTCTCACACTCACCATCCTCACACTCACCATCCTCAACAATCACCATCTCACACACCATCCCCATCTCACACCATCTCACACTCACCATCTCACACTACCATCCCTCACACACTCACTTCCCATCCCTCACACATTCACCATCCCCTCACACACACCATCCCTCACACACTCACCATCCCTCACACACTCACCATCCTCACACACTCACCATCCTCACACACTCACCATCCCCACACACTCCAGCATCCCTCACACAATCACCATCCCTCACACACACCATCCTCACACATACCACCATCTCTCACACACTCACCATCCTCACACACTCACCATCCCTCACACAATCACCATCCTCACACACCATCCCCTCACACACTCACCATCCTCACACAATCATCATCCCTCACACACTCACCATCCCTCACACACTCATCATCCCTCACACACCTCACCATCTCTCACACACTTACCATCCCTCACACACTCACCATCCCTCACAGTCTCACCATCCCTCACACACTCATCATGCCCCTCACACACCTCACCATCTCTCACACCTCACCATCCCTCACACACCACCCATCCCTCACACACTCACCATCCCCACACATCTCACCACCCTCACACACACCATCCCTCACACACTCACCATCCCTCACACACTCACCATCCCTCACACACTCACCCATCCTCACACACTCACCATCCCTCACACACTCAGCATCCCCACACAATCACCATCCCTCACACACACCATCCTCACATACTCACCATCTCTCACACACTCACCATCCCTCACACACTCACCATCCCACACAATCACCATCCTCACACACACCATCCCTCACACACTCACCATCCCTCACACACCACCATCCCCACACTCACCATCCCTCACACCAATTCACCATCCCTCACACACTCACCATCCCTCACACAATCACCATCCTCACACACACCATCCCTCACACACTCACCATCCTCACACACTCACCATCCCTCACACACTCACCATCCCTCACACACCCATCATCCCTCACACACACACCATCTCACACACCTACCATCCTCACACACTCACCATCCCTCACAGTCTCACCCATCCTCACACACTCATCATCCCTCACACACCTACCATCTCTCACACTCACCATCCCTCACACACTCACCATCCCTCACACACTCACCATCCCTCACACACCACCATCCCCTCACACATCCCTCACACACTCACCATCCCTCACACACTCACCATCCTCACACACTCACCATCCCTCACACACCTCACCATCCCTCACACACTCACCATCCTCACACAATCACCATCCCTCACACACACCATCCCTCACACTCACCATCCCCCACACACCACCATCTCCTCACACACTCACCATCCCCTCACACACTCACCTCATCCTCACACACTCACCATCTCTCACACACTCACCATCCCTCACACACCTCATCATCCTCACACACTCACCATCTCTCATACACTCACCATCCCCACACTCACCATCCCTCACACACTCACCATCCCTCACACACTCACCATCCTTCACACACTCACCATCCCTCACACACTCACCATCCCTCACACACCACCATCCCCAACACACTCACCATCCCTCACACACTCTCTATCCCTCACACACTCACCATCCCTCACACACTCACCACCTCCCACACTCACCATCCTCACACACTCACCATCCCTCACACACTCACCATCCTCACACACTCACCATCTCTCACACACTCACCATCCTCACACACTCACCCACCCTCACACACTCATCATCCCTCGCACACTCACCATCCCTCACACACTCACCATCCCTCACACAATCACCATCCCTCACACACTCATCATCCTCCTCGCACACTCACCATCACCACAAACTCACCAGCCCTCACACACTCACCATCCCTCACAATCACCATCCCTCACACACTCACCATTCCTCACACACTCATCATCCCTCACACACTCACCATCCTCACACACCACCATCCCTCACACACTCACCATCCTCACACAATCACCATCCTCACACACCATCCTCACACCCTCACCATCCTCACACACACTCACCATCTCACACTCACCATCCTCACACGCTCACCACCCTCACACTCTCACCATCCCTCCCACACACTACCATCCCTACACACTCACCATCCCACACACTTCACTATCTCACACTTCATCATCTCACACACTCACCATCTCACACACTCACCATCTCACACACTACTATCTCTAACACTCACCATCCCTCACACTCACCATCTCATAATTCCATCTCACACACTTACTATCTCTACACACTCACATCCCTCACACACTTACCATCCTCACATCACCATCTCTACACACTACTCTTCACACTCACCATCCCTCACACACTCACCATCCCTCACACACTCACCATCCCCACACTCACCATCCCTCACACACTCACACCATCCCTCACACACTCACCACCCCCACACACTCCATCCTTCACACACTCACTATCCCTCACACTCACCACCCCTCACACACTCTCCATCCCACACACTCACCATCCCTCACACACTCACCATCCCTCACACACTCACCACCCTCACACACTCTCCATCCTTCACACACTCACCATCCCCACACACTCACCATCCTCACACACTCACCATCCTCCTCACACACTCACCATCCCTCACACACTCACCATCCCTCACACACTCACCATCCCTCACACACTCTCCATCCTTCACACACTCGAGGAGGCTTTGTCTCTCATATACTAATTGTTGATGGACTTGTGTAATCGATGTTTTAATTACGCACTTAAGGTAGTTTTTGAAGCGCAATTTTATAGTATTATCTACTCACACACACACACACACACACACACGTATATATACCCCTCATGCACATCGCACTCACAATACACACTTGTACTCATAATCCCCATGCACACCTCTTCTATACCTCATACGCTAACTTGATGACACACTTTGCTCACACCTACACACACTTCCCCACACCTACACACTTCCAAAAGTTCTCACCACTTACACACACACTGCACTTTACACACTTTTCCACACACTTCCTGAACTCTACACACTTTTCCACACGCACTTCCACACTCTTACACACTTTTCCACTCACTTCCCAGACCGTTACACACTTCTCCACAAGCTTCTCACACTTTTCCACACACTTTCCCACTCCCACACACTTTTCCACACACTTCCCACACTCTTACACACTTTTCCACACACTTTCCACACTCTTACACACACTCCTCCACAAACTTTCACACTTTGCACACACTTCCTGCACTCCACACACTCTTCCACACTCTCCCACACTCTACACACTTCTCCACAAATTCTCACCCTTTTCCACACACCCCCCCATTCTTACACACTTTTTTCCACACACTTCCCACACTCTTACACACTTTTCCCACACACTTCCTCTCACACACTTTTCACACACTTCCCACACTCTACACACTTTTCCACACACTTCCCTGCCTCTACACACTTTTCCACACACTTCCACACTTTTACACACACTCCCACACTCTTCACGCACTTCCACACTCCTTTCTCCACACACCTCCCACACTCTATACACTTTCCACAAATTCTCACACTTTTCCACACACCTTCCCACACTCTACACACTTTTCCCACACACTTCCTCACTCTTTTCACTTTTCCACACTCCCCACACTCTACACACTTTTCACACACTTCCCGCACTCTTACACACTTTTCCACACACTCCCCACACTCTTACACACTTCCCACACTCTTTCACGCACTTCCCACACTTTTCCACACACTTCCCATACTCTTATACACTTTCCACAAATTCTCACACTTTTCCACACACTTCCCACAGTCTTACACTTTCACACACTTCCCACACTCTTTCACACACTTCTCCAAACTGGTAAACATATTCCCCTCATCTTCCTCCATGACCTCTTAACTTACGCATAGTCTCTCCTCTTACCTCTCCATCACACACACACATCTAGTGTATATCACACATACGCACAAACATGCACGTGTACGCACACATGCACGTATACGCTCATACACACACACACACACACACACACACAGATACAACACACACACACACACACACACACACACAGATACAACACACACACACACACACACACACACACACACTTGTACAAATACACATACACACCTTCGCACCCAAAGAGACTTACTGGCGGGGTCGTGAGGGAGCGTGTTACCCCATCGAGTTTACAGAGTAAAAGATGTCGTTGAGCAGCTCTTCGTCGTCCCCCTGCAGGCTCCTCCTCGTCGTCGTGGCTCATTTCACGGAGGCAACAGCGGCTGGGGTCGTATAAACATGCCCAGGAGTACCACTCACTTCCGAAGAGGAGGGGGGAGGTACAAGAGAGCGGAGGAGGTAGAAGTGAGAGTAGACTTAGGTAGAAGTGAGAGAAGAGGACAGCAGTGAGAAGAGGAGGGTGGCCCTTCTCCTCCTTCTCATCCTCATCAGTGATCAGCACCGAGAGAGGTAGTCAATAATAGGGGCGAAACAAGTCCACGACACGACAACCTAATGCGGGCGGTCTTGGTGCTGTTGCTGGTGATTTTAATGCCGTTCTTGATAGTGATCCACATTTTATAATTAAGAACTGTATTTTTTTCTGTTCTCTTGAGCTATATTTGTCGTATGTTTTGAAGGGGGAATTGTTGTTGTTGTTGTTGCTTATTTCCTGTATGTGTACCAGGACTAAGAGCTAAATGTATTCGCAATTATGTATACCATACATATTTAGAGGTATCACAGTCAGAGTGATCACAATATACAACACAAGACTCGGCTCTGTGTCGTGCGCGATATATCGTCTCCTTGTTGCGCACTTGACACCCAGGGCTAGAGGTAAAAAAGCTCGCGAGCAGCGGGGTTTCGCGTGCTTTTCTGGCGTTTGTGGCTCGAGCCTGCGGGACCCTCCCCTAGTGCGCATGCGCCGCTCGGGGGCACAATATGGCTGACCCCCCGCCGCCATGCCACAGACCCGGCCAACTCACTCCTCTATCCTCCCTTATACGTTAATCTGATTCCAGACCTAAACCATTACCTCTATCATTACTTCTCACACAATGGCACCAAGGTAGACGACGAAAAAAATAGCAGCATCATAATTTAAATTAAAGATGGCCATGCTCAACAAATACGTGGAGTACGAATTTAAAGGGCAGAAGGTGAGTCGAACTTTAAGAGACGCCAGAGTCAGCGGTGAAGGATAACACTCGAGCCAAAACTAATAAAACGAACATAAAATTACACCTACGGTTGTCTGACGAAACTGTTTCTTGTTTACATTCGAGAGGAACAGGCGGTCAGGGAAGGGCGACTTAAATATGATTTACAGGTCCTTTTTCTACCTCAGGGTCGCAAAATTCGGAGTGTTTAGAGGAGAGTATTAAGGGTTTTATAGATCTTGCAGGACTATCCTCGGGAACAGCTCCTTTAATTTATTGTGAGTTATAAAACTAATGGCTCAAGGAACAGGTCCCCCAGTCACTAAACACCCGATGGACCAAATCTTCCCACTAGATCAAATATTAAAAATTATAGACCTGAAGTTATGGATATTTAGAGGACACTCTGGCTACGACCGATACCGCCCGAGTAGAAATTAAGATCCAATCAAACGACTATTAGCCCCTCGCTGGACCAGCGGCTGAGGACCCCCGGTAACATGGACCCTCAACTTAGTTCATCGCCTTAAACAAGCCAGCTCCAAGTACCAGTTTGGTTAGGTTGGGTTACAATGCGAGCAAGTCTCACTACTCCAGAATAATTAAACTCGAAACCTGGAAATTCCGGTGCAAATAAAGAGCGGTGGTTATAGGGAGGACGTGAGGAACCTGGTGGAGTAGGGCCGACTTGTGCCATCCTAGGACCCCCTGCGCGGCCAGGCATCCCAGACTGACAACCAACTCACACCTCCGCCTCACGCCACCGTCTCGCCCAATTTCGGACACTGCCTCAAAACTTTCCGGTCGGGAGGGAGGATGGTCGTCGCTTTCGTGAAGAACCTGTGGTTGTAATCACCTCTTGAAGGTCAAATAAATGTATAGTGTATTTTCTGTACCAATATTCAGTTTGAATTATCGAAATTTTATTATTAAGAGCTACGTGTCTTGGTTGGATCCTCAGAGCTAAAGATGCTGCTACTCCCACTAGCGGCTTAAAATTTCCTACAAATGACAATACCTGATCGTTTGTCACACAGAATAAATTTTGGCATTCTATAGGAAGTCTTCTGAGTGCTACAGTGAGATCAAGAGAGAGTGTGAGGGAGGCTTACAGGTGTTGGCCAGGACAGTCGCTAGTTGATGGCAGTGCACAGGAGGAGGACCTGGGCGGCTCCGTGATTGAAAACCGGGTAGGTAGGTAGCATCGTGGCCGGGCGGAGGAGAGCCCATGCCGCGACTGCCGGCGATCAGGAGCAGATACCAGCACCTCGGTTATTTATGCCCCGGACGCCATGCAGAGAGGCGATTTTACTCGAGTCTCCTCCCAGTTCGTCCCTCTTGCCTGCGACCGTTCACCTGCGACACCTTTTCTCACCCACTATATTTCCATCGCTATATATATGTACGTCAAAGCCACAAGTCACATTTCGTATATTAATTATCACCAAAGAAAGGATCTTTATATTACTTTACAGATGACGAAAACTCGATGCAAGACCAGCTTGAGATGCGAGTGAATAAGACGCGACGGACGAAATACAGAGAAACTGTCGGAGTGAGGGCAGGCAGGCGGGCCGCAGCGAGGGGGCCGTGATAGAAGGGGCTGATCAGGCGGCTACACACACAAACATGAAATATTAGCACCTCCTCTACATGACAACACTACTGTGGGTTTATCGCTCCACCATCTTCCCATCCGCAACTCCGCAATACCCAACAACCTCGATACTTCGACCTACTTTCTTGTCCCAGACGACGTCTAACCTTGCCGAGATAAGCGAGGGCTGATGCTGCGCCCTGTGTCGTCCGTGGTCAAGCACTGGTGGTCCCGTACCGCTGGCGTGGGTGGCGGGGGACATGGAAGGCCGAGGCGCTGGGGGACAGTCACGGTACGAGTCCATGATTTGTGCATAGCTGTCTGCAACCTTGCCCCTCTGGTCGCCATATACGCCCGCGTCGCTCCACCACATGAATCACCTGTATTTATTGATAGTTAGATAACATCTTTACGGGCAGTAAATCATACCAATCCCAGGCCACGCTTCACTTAAGTGTCGCGAATTTACCACAAGATAAATGGTAGCAAGGCACTGAAAATCTCGTTCGTCACAGGCATTTGCTGCTCACGAAGGTCAAAAGACGTTTGGTGTTTTATATCCGTTGGATTATAATCGTCATGAAAAAGTCACACACGCGACTATAAACAGATCTTGATCTTCAGGGGCGTTCGCTGCTCACGAAGGCTAAAATACGCTCGAGGTTCTATGTACAGAACTGTGCTAAGACTGTAGTCGTTGCTGAAATATCATCTATGCAGTATTTTCAGGAGAGAAGTAGATCACAGGAGCTGAGCTAGTAACTGACGAGGTGTCTTCACTCTAGTAGTAACAGTAACTTCTTTATCCTACATCAAGGCTATAAGTGAGCGCCTGTAACCACACCACCACATGTCCCTCTAATACCTATACCTCTGACCGCAGACACTATGTTTCCACATCCAAGTGCGCACACACACACACACACACTTCTATATATATATATATATATATATATATATATATATATATATATATATATATATATATATATATATATATATATATATATATATATATATATATATTATATTATATATATATATATTTGATAAATCACACGGAAAAGGAAACAACGGAGCACCTTGGCTTTCGTCTTTATTCAAGACATCTTCAGTTGCTCTGAAGATGTCTTGAATAAAACAACAAATGTTTTCATTGTGGATCTACATGAAAATATATATATATATATATATATATATATATATATATATATATATATATATATATATATATATATATATAATCGCCGATTAAGCATTAAAAAAAACAATTGACGTTTTTGCCAAATAGGGATAACCTTATTTTTATTGCTTCGACTTAGTTGAAAATATCTCACATATGGAAAAAATAATTGTTTCCTTTAAGACGTCATTTACCATCATTAAACAGACAAGTTATATCTAAGAAAGGTAGAATAGGTACGGTTGAATTAAGTTAGGTTAGGTTAGGTTAAGTTTGGTTAGGTTTGGTTAGGTTGGTTGAGTTTAGGTTTGGTTGAGTTGGGTTAGTTTTAGGTTTTGGTTTGGTTGGGTTGGGTTGGGATGTGAGTTTAGTTAGGTTAGGTTAGGTTAGGTTAGGTTTACAACGTAACTACTCTTTTATACATGTATGATTTATACGATTGTCTAAGGCAGGTCAGAAGTGAGAAGTTATCACTATCAGGCAACTTCACACTACAGCTACATCATAACTGCTGCAGGTACAGCCACACCAAACACCTACTACCTTAGCCATACTACAGGAACAACTGTAATATCAACTATACCACAGCTATAATTATAACCACAGACAGTATAACCACAACCCTGCCGAAGACAGTTGTAACCACAGCTACAACTACAACTATACTACAGCGACAGCTACAAATGTAGCCACACCACAGGAAGTTACAGTCACAACTACACCACAGTGGTAGCCATTGCTATACTACAGCTACAGCCACTGCAATAGTTATAACCACAACCAGAACCAAGCTACTTATATAACTACAACATCAGCTAAGGAGCAGCTGCAATAAGTAAAGCTTCAGCTGCATCCCAGAGCAGCTACAACCACAGACACATCATTAGATACAACCAAAGCAGTAGCTGCTGCAACAACCGCACCATTATAAACAATCACACAACAACTATAAACACAACAAAACCCTGTACAGCAACAACTACAACAACAACCTGGCACAGCAACAACTACAACAACAACCTGGCCACAGCAACAACTACAGCAACAACCTGGACAGCAACAACTACAGCAACAACCTGTCACAGCAACAACTACAACAACAACCTTGGCAACAGCTCAACAACACCCACCAGTCAGCAACAACTGCAACAACAACCTGGTCCAACAACAACTACAAACAACAACCTGTACAGCAACAACTACAGCAACACCCTCTACAGCCAACAACTACAACAACAACCTGTTCAGCAGCAACAACTACAACAACAACCTGTTACAGCAACAGCTACCAGCAACAACCTGGTACAGCAACAACTACAGCAACACCACATACAGCAACAACTCAACAACAACCTGGCCACAGCAACAACTACAGCAACACCTGTACAGCAACAGCTTCACAGCAGCACCCTGTACAGCAACAACTGCAACAACACCCTGGCCGCAGCAACAACTACAACAACAACCTGGCCACAGCAACAACTACAAGCAACACCTAGCCTCAACAACGGATACAACAACACCCACAAGCTCAACAACAGATACAACAACACCTAGCCTCAACAACAGCTGCAACCAACAACACTGGCCTCAACAACAGATACAACAACACCCTAGCCTCTCAACAACAGCTGCAGCAACAACACACTGGCCTCAACAACAGATACAACAACACTAGCCTCCAGCAACAGCTGCAGCAGCAACACTGGCCTCAACAACAGATACAACAACACCTAGCCTCAACAACAGCTGCAGCAACAACACCTAGCCTCAACAACAGATACAACAACACCCTGGCCTCAACAACAGATACAACAACAACACACTGGCTCAACAACAGATACAACAACACCCTGGCCTCCATAGCAGCTGCAGCAACAACACTGGCCTCAACAACAGATACAACAACACCTAGCCTCCAAAACAGATGCAACGACACCCTAGCCTCAACAACGGATACAACAACTTGCCCTGGCCTCAACAACGGATACAACAACACCTGGCCTCAACAGATACAACAACAACACACTGGCCTCAGCAACAAGATACAACAACAACACCCTAAGCCTCAACAACAATTAACAACACCCTAGCCTCAACAACAGCTGCAGTAACAACACACTGGCCTCAGCAACAGATACAACAACTTGCCCTAGCCTCAACAACAGATACAACAACAACACACTGGCCTCAGCAACAGCTGCAACCAGCAACACACTGGCCTCAACAACAGATACAACAACACCCTAGCCTCAACAACAGATACAACAACACCTGGCCTCAACAACAGATACAACAACACCACCTAGCCTCAACAACAGATGCAACAACACCCTAGACTCAACAACAAGATACAACAACAACACACTGGCCTCAACAACAGATACAACAACACCCTGGCCTCAACAACAGATACAACAACACCTAGCCTCAACAACGGATACAACAACACCCTAGCCTCAACAACAGCTGCAACAGCAACACACTGGCCTCAACAACAGATACAACAACACCCTAGCCTCAACAACAGCTGCAGCAACAACACACTGGCCTCAACAACAGATACAACAACACCCCTGGCCTCAGCAACAGCTGCGGCAACAACACACTGGCCTCAGCAACAGCTGCAGCAACAACTTTACCAGCCTCAACAACAGATACAACAACACCCTGGCCTCAACAGATACAACAACACCCTGGCCTCAACAACAAATACAATAACAACCTGAAGCTTCAGCAACAGATACAACAACGCCCTAGCCTCAACAACAGATACAACAATAACACACTGGCCTCAACAACAGCTGCAGCAACAACACACTGGCCTCAACAACAGATACAACAACGCCCCTAGCCTCAACAACGGCTGCAGCAACAACACCCGCACTGGCCTCAGCAACAGATACAACAACACCCTGGCCTCAACAACAGATACAGCAACACCCTAGACTCAACAACAGATACAACAACAACACTGGCCTCAACAACAGATACAACAACTTACCCTGGCCTCAACAACAGATACAACAACACCCTAGCCTCAACAACAGATGCACAGCAACAACACCTAGCCTCAACAGCAGCTGCAGCAACAACACACTGGCCTCAACAACAGATACAACAACACCTAGCCCTGTAACGACGCAGCAACAACACACTGGCCTCAACAACAGATACAACAACACCCTAGCCCCTCAACAACAGCTGCAGCAACAACACACTGGCCTCAACAACAGCTGCAGCAACAACACACTGGCCTCAACAACAGATACAACAACACCCTGGCCTCAACAACAGATACAACAACACACTGGCCTCAACAACAGATACAACAACACCCGCCCCTAGCCTCCAACAACAGCCTGCAGCAAGCAACCCACACTGGCCTCAACAACGGCTGCGTAACAACACCCTGGCTTCAACAACAGATACAACAACACCCTGGCCTCAACAACAGGTACAACAACATCCTGGCCTCGACAGCAGATGCAACAACACCCTGGCCTCTACAATATATACAACAACACCCTGGCCTCCACAACTGATACAACAACACCCTGGCCTCAACAGCAGATACAACAACACCCTGGCCTCAGCTTAACAGACACAACCAACACCCTGGCCTCAACAACTGATGCAACAACAACGCCTGGTCTCCAGCAGCAGATACAACAACACCCTGGCCTCAACAACCGTACAACAACACCTGGCCTCCAGCAACTGATACAACAACAACACCCTGGCCCCTCAACAGCAGATACAACAACACCCTGGCCTCAACAACAGACACAACAACACCTGGCCCGTAACAACGGATACAACAGCACTGGCCTGGACAACGGATACAACAACACCCTGGCCTCAACAACTGATACAACAACAACACCCTGGTCTCAACACTACATACAACAACACCTGGTCTCAACCAGCACATACAACAACAACACCCTGGCCTCAACACTGCAAGCCAACGCACCCTGGCCTCAGCAACAGATGCAACAACACCCTGGCCTTAGGAAACACATACAACAACACCCTGGCATCAACCCAACACATACAACAATAACAACACCCCTGGCTCTTTCAGCAGATACAACAACACCTGGCATCAGCAACACATACAACAGCATCCCTGGCCTCAGCAACAGATACAACACTGGCCCCAGAACACATACAACAACACCCTGGCATCAGCAACACATACAACAACAACACACCCTGGCCTCTTTCAACAGATGCAACAACACCTGGCATCAGCAACACATACAACAACACTCCCCTGGCCTCAGCAACAGATACAACACCCTGGCCCCAGAACACATACAACAACACCCTGGCATCAACAACACAACAACAACACCCTGGCCTCTTTCAACAGATACAACAACACCCTGGCATCAGCAACACATGCAACAATACCCTGGCCTCTTTCAAACAGATACAACAACCCCCTGGCCTCAGCAACAGATACAACAACACCCTGGCCTCAGCAACAGATACAACAACACCCTGGCCTCAGCAGCAGATACAACAACTTACCCTGGCATCAACCAACACATACAACAACAACACCCTGGCCTCTTTCAGCAGATACAACAACACCCTGGCATCAGCAACACATACAACAACACCCTGGCCTCTTTCAACAGATACAACAACCCCCTGGCCTCAGCAGCAGATGCAACAACACCCTGGCATCAGCAACAGATACAACCACTGGCTCAGACAGCAGATACAACAACACCCTGGCCCATCAACAGCACATACAACAACAACACCCTGGTATCTTTCAACGGATACAACCAACGCCTGGCATCAACCCAGCACATACAACAACAACCCCTGGCCTCAGCAACAGATACAACAACACCTGGCATCAGCAACAGATACAACAACACTGGCCTCAGCAGCAGATACAACAACACCCTGGCCTCAACAACACATACAACAACAACGCCCTGGCCTCTTTCAACAGATACAACAACACCCTGGCATCAGCAACACATACAACAACAACACCACAATGCTTTCAGCAGATACAACACCTGGCCTCAGCAACAGATGCAACGCACCCTGGCCTCCAACAACACATGCAACAAACAACACCCTGGCCTCAGCAGCAGATACAACAACACCCTGGCCTCAGCAACAGATGCCAGCAACGCACCCTGGCATCAGCAACACATGCAACAACAACACCCTGGCCTCTTTCAACAGATACAACAACACCCTGGCATCAGCAACAGATACAACAACACCCTGGCATCAGCAGCAGATACAACAACACCCTGGCATCAACCCAACACATACAACAACAACACCCTGGCCTCAGCAGCGGATACAACAACACCCTGGCATCAGCAACAGATACAAACAACAACACCCTGGCCTCAGCAGCAGATACAACAACACCCTGGCATCAGCAGCACATACAACAGCAACACCCTGTGGCCTCAGCAACAGATACAACAACTTACCCTGGCATCAACAGATACAACAACACCCTGGCATCAGCAACACATACAACAGCAACACCTCGCCTCTTTCAACAGATACAACAACACCTGGCATCAACCCAGCAGCATACAACAACACCCTGGCATCAGCAACACATACAACAACAACACCTGGCCTCTTTCAGCAGATACAACAACACCCTGGCATCAGCAACACATACAACAACAACACCCTGGCCTCTTTCAACTGGATACAACAAGCCCCTGGCCTCAGCCAACAGATACAACAACACCCTGGCATCAGCAACGGATACAACAACACCCTGGCATCAGCAACACATACAACAACAACACCCTGGCCTCTTTCAGCAGATACAACAACACCCTGGCATCAATAACACATGCAACAACACCTGGCATCAGCAACACATACAGCGGCAACACCCTGGCCTCTTTCAGCAGATGATACAACAACACCCTGGCATCAGCAACACATACAACAACAACACCCTGGCCTCTTTCAACGGATACAACAACACCCTGGCATCAGCAACACATACAACAACAACACCCTGGCCTCTTTCCAGCAGATACAACAACGCCTGGCATCAGCAGCAGATACAACAACAACACCCTGGCATCAGCAGCAGATACAACAAACACCCTGGCATCAGCAACGGATACAACAACACCTGGCATCAGCAACGGATGCAACAACCGCCTGGCATCAGCAACGGATGCAAGTAAGCACCCTGGCATCGGCAACGGATACAACAACACCCACCATCAGCAACGGATACAACAACACCCTGGCATCAGCAACGGATACAACAAACAACACCCTGGCCTCAGCAACAGATACAACAACACCCTGGCATCCAGCGCTACAACAACACCCTGGCATCAGCAACACATACAACAACACCCTGGCATCAGCAGCAGATACAACAACGCACCCTGGCATCAGCAACACAGCCACAACAACAACACCCTGTCAGCAACAGATACAACAACACCCTGGCATCAGCAACGGATACAACAACACCCTGGCATCAGCAACAGATACAACAACACCCTGGCATCAGCAACAGATACAACAACACCCTGGCATCAGCAACAGATGCAACAACAACACCCTGGCCTCAGCAACGGATACAACAACACCCTGGCATCAACCAGCACATACAACAACACCCTGGCATCCCAGCCAACACATACAACAACACCCTGGCATCAGCAACAAGATACAACAACACCCTGGCATCAGCCCAACATACAACAACAACACCCTGGCATCAACCCAGCAGATGCAAACAACACCCTGGCATCAACAACACATACAACAACAACACCCTGGCATCAGCCAACAGATACTGTAGCAACAACACCCACAACATCAGCAACAGATACAACAACACCCTGGCATCAGCAACAGATACAACAACACCCTGGCATCAGCAACAGATACCATACAACACCCTGGCATCAGCAACAGATACAACAACACCCTGGCATCAGCAGCCAGATACAACAACAACACCCACAAACCGACAAACGCATACAACAACACCCTGGCCTCAACAAACGGATACAACCAACGCCCTGGCATCAGCAACGGATACAACCAACGCACCCTGGCATCAGCAACAGGTCTAACGGCGCACAATCAGCAACAGATGCACAACAACACCTGGCATCAGCAGCACATACAACAACCAGCTACCCTGTCAGCCAACGGATACAACAACACCCTGGCATCAGCAACAGATGCAACAACACCCTGGCATCAGCAACAGATACAACAACACCCTGGCATCAGCAGCAGATACAACAACACCCTGGCCTCAGCAGCAGATACAACAACACCCACAATCAGCAGCAGATACAACAACACCCTGGCATCAGCAACACATACAACAACAACACCTGGCCTCTTTCAGCAGATACAGCAACACCCTGGCATCAGCAACAGATACAACAACTTGCCTGGCATCAACAGCACATACAACAACAACACCCTACAAGCACTCTTTCAACCGGATACAACAACACCCTGGCATCAACCAACACATACAACAACAACACCTGGCCTCTTTCAGCAGATACAACAACACCTGGCATCAGCAACATACAACAACAACAACACCTGACATCTTTCAACAGATACAACAACACCCTGGCATCAGCAACAGATACAACAACACCCTGGCATCAGCAACAGATACAACAACACCTGGCATCAACAACAGATACAACAACACCCTGGCATCAGCAACACATACAACAACAACTTACCCTGGCCTCTTTTCAACAGATACAACAACACCCTGGCCTCTTTGTAGATGCAACAACCCCCTGGCATCAGCAGCCGTTAAACAACACCTGGCATCAGCAACAGATACAACAACACCTGGCATCAGCAGCAGATACAACAACGCCCTGAAATTTCAGCAGCACATACAACAACAACACCTGGCCTCTTTCAGCAGATACAACAACGCACCCTGGCATCAGCAACGGATACAACAACACCCTGGCATCAGCGCTTGGATGCAACAACACCCTGGCATCTGGCAAACAGATACAACAACACCCTGGCATCAGCAACACATACAACAACACCCTGGCCTCAGCAACAGATACAACAACAAAACACCCTGGCCTCTTTCAGCAGATACAACAACACCCTGGCATCAGCAACAGATACAACAACACCCTGGCATCAGCAACAGATACAACAGCAGCTTGCCCTGGCCTCAGCAACAGATGCAACAACAACACCCTGGCCTCTTTCCAGCAGATGCAACAACACCCTGGCATCGGCAACAGATACAACAACACCCTGGCATCAGCAGCACATACAACAACACCCTGGCCTCAGCAGATACAACAACAACACCCTGGCCTCTTTCAACAGATACAACAACACCCTGGCATCAGCAACGGATACAACAACACCCTGGCCTCAGCAGCAAGGATACAACAACTTAACTTGCCTGGCCTCTTTCGAAGCAGATACAACAACACCCTGGCATCAGCAACAGATACAACAACACCCTGGCATCAGCAACAGATACAACAACACACAGCATCAGCAACAGATACAACAACACCTGGCATCAACAGCAGATACAACAACACCTGGCATCAGCAACAGATACAACAACACCCTGGCATCAGCAACAGATACAACACCCTGGCATGTAGCAGATACAGCAACACCTAGCGCCAGCAACGCATACAACAACAAACACCCTGGCCTCAGCAACAGATACAACAACACCCTGGCCTCAGCAACAGATACAACAACAGCACCGGCGCCAGCCCAGCATACAACAACAACACCCTGGCCTCAGCAACAGATACAACAACACCCTGGCATCAGCAACAGATACAACAACACCCTGGCATCAGCAACACAGCACAACAACAACACGCCTGGCATCAGCAACAGATACAACAACACCCTGGCATCAGCAAGCACATACAACAACAACACCCTGGCCTCTTTCAACAGATACAATAACACCCTGGCCCTCAGCAACAGATACAACAACACCCTGGCATCAGCAACGGATACAACAACACCCTGGCATCAGCAACGCCACAACAACAACACCCTGGCCTCTTTCAGCAGATACAGCAACACCCTGGCCTCAGCACATACAACAACACCCTGGCGCACTCTTTCAACAGATACAACAACACCCTGGCATCAGCAACAGATACAACAACACCCTGGCATCAGCAACAGATACAACAACACCCTGGCATCAGCAACACATACAACAACAACACCCTGGCCTCTTTCAACAGATACAACAACACCCTGGCATCAGCAACATACAACAACACCCTGGCATCAGCAACGGATACAACAACACGCCTGTCAGCAACACAGCACAACAAACAACACCTGGCATCAGCAACAGATACAACAACACCCTGGCATCAGCAACAGATACAACAACACCCCTGGCATCAGCAACAGATACAACAACACCCTGGCATCAGGAACACATACAACAACAACACCCTGGCCTCTTTCAACAGATACAGCAACACCCTGGCCTCAGCAACAGATACAACAACACCCTGGCATCAGCAACAGATGCAAGCAACACCCTGGCATCAGCAACAGATACAACAACACTGGCATCCAGCAACACATACAACAACACCCTGGCATCAGCAGCAGATGCAACAAGCAACACCCTGGCATCAGCAACATATACAACAACACCCTGGCATCAGCAACAGATACAACAACACCCTGGCATCAGCAACACATACAACAACACCCACAATCAGCAACACATACAACAACAACACCCTGGCCTCTTTCAACAGATACAACCAACACCCTGGCATCAGCAACACATACAACAACAACACCCTGGCCCTCTTTCAACAGATACAGCAACACCTGGCATCAGCAACAGATACAACAACACCCTGGCATCAGCAACAGATACAACAACACCCTGGCCTCAACAACATACAACAGCCTGGCATCAACAACAGATACAACAACACCCTGGCATCAACCCAACACATACAACAACACCCTGGCCTCAGCAGCACATACAACAACAACACCCTGGCCTCTTTCAGCACATACAACAACGCACCCTGGCATCAGCAACAGATACAACAACACC